TCTTAAGATACCGCATTCAATGAGCTTAAGAATTTGCTTACACATGCTCCTTTGCTCGCATTAACCAACTTTGATAAACCATTTGAGATTCATTGCGATGCTAGCGGTTATGGCATAGGAGGTGTGTTAATGCAAGAGAAGCGCCCCATAGCTTACTTTAGTGAGAAACTTTCCGGAGCGCAACTTAACTACCCCATCTATGACAAAGAGCTATGTGCTTTAGTGAGAGTCTTGCATGTTTGAGGGCATTATCTCCGTCTTCATGAGTTCATTCTTCACACGGATCATGAAACACTTAAGTATATTAAGGGTCAAACTAAGTTGAACAAGCGTCATGCTAAGTGGAGTGAATTCATTAAGTCTTTCCCTTATGTCATCAAGTACACCAAAGGTAAGGAAAATGTTGTGGTGGATGCGCTTTCCCGTACATGCATGCTTGTTACCCAACTTGAATTGAATGTCATTGGTTTTGAGCACATAAAAGACTTGTATGCGCATGATCCTACTTTTGCTATTCCTTATGCCAAATATTTTACGCATACATCCTGGGAACGCTATTTCATCAAAGATGGTTATCTTATGAGAGCTAACAAACTATGTATTCCCGAGTCTTCTCTTCGTTTGTTACTTTTGTAAGAATCCCATGGAGGAGGACTAATGGGACACTTTGGACGTGACAAAACATTTGCTACGCTATCGAAGAACTACTTTTGGCCCAAGATGTTCCGTGACGTCTCACGCTTCACCAAACGATGCTCTACATGTCAATAAGCTAAGTCTAAAGCTCAATCTCATGGCCTTTATATGCCACTTCCTATTCCATATCACCCATGGGAAGATATTAGTATGGACTTTGTGCTTGGTTTGCCTAGAACTCGTAACAGCAAATATTCCGTGTTTGTTGCTGTGGACCGATTCTCTAAAATGGCTCATTTCATTCCATGCAACAAGATAGACGATGCTTCACATGTTGCAAATCTTTTTTGTAGGGAAATCTTGCGCCTACACGGAGTACCAAAGACTATTGTCTCAGAATGCGACATCAAGTTCTTGAGCTACTTTTGGAAGACATTATGCGCCAAGCTCGGAATCAAGCTTTTGTTCTCTTCGGCATACCATCCTCAAACCGATGGCCAAACGGAGGTGACGAACCGAATGCTCTCCACTCTACTACGCGTGTTGATCAAGAGGAACATCAAGGAGTGGGAGGAGTGTCTACCCATCGCCGAGTACGCCTAGAACCTCGCAAGACATTCGACTACCGGCAAGTCTCCCTTCGAGGTCGTTTACGGCTTCAACCCGTTGTCCCCATTGGACATTCTCCCTCTACCACTACAAGAGCACATCAATATGGATGCAAGTGCATGAGTGAACTATCTCAAGAAGATGCATGAAGATGCAAGGCACACCATCGAGCGCCAAGTACAACGACTTGCGACCAAGCTCAACATCAACAAGCAACCCATGATATTCAAGATTGGAAATCTTGTGTGGCTACACCTTCGCAAGGACCGCTTCCCCAACAAACTAATCCAAGCTTATACCTCGATCCGATGGACCCTTCAAGGTGCTAGCACGCTACAACAACAACACTTACAAGATTGACCTCCCGCGTGACAAGTACAACATGAGCGACGTCTTTAATGTCAAAGATGTCTGTCCCTACCATGGTGATGAAGCTTTCGATCCGAGGTCGGATCTTTCCTAGGGGGGGAGATGATGCGGAGCATCCCAAGGTAATCCCCATGGACCTACCTACATATCCCACGACACCACTTAGACCAATGACAAGAGCTCGAGCAAAGGCTATCAAAGATAAGGTGAACTCGCTCTTATCCGAACTACCACTTTCTACATATGAGACATGGTTACTGCCTCAAGCGAAGACCCTATGTGTGATCAGGTATTTGGAGGAAGGCCACGAATCAGCTACACCCAATGGACAAGACGGCGAGGACACCAAGTACAAGGAACAAGAAGAAGAGCTACGGGGAAATCTCCAACCACCGGACGACCGAGACTTGTTGGACGTTCGACGCCTGGAGCATCAGCCAACCTGCTAAGTCCCAGCCTGCGCACGCTCCAGTGACCGGACGACCGACGCCGATCGGACGTCCAACACCTCCCAGCTCCTGGACGACCGAGCACCACCGGACGACCAACACCACCATCACCGAGCCAAAACATCGGAAGTATGGAAGCCTCCAAACGACCGACGTCTCGGACGTCGACCCCGACTGGACGACGGCACAACCTAACCAGAGCCGAAACGTCGAACTTTTGACAAGTACCGGACGTCCGGACCCTCACAAGCTTTCGGACAACCGGTGACTGTCGGACGTCCGACGCATGTGTGTTGAACGCGTGTTGGGCCGAGGCCCATGTACCCCTTCGTCCACTTAGACTATATATACTCCTCCTCCCTCTTTCTAGGGTTAGCAAAGGATTAGCTCATTTGAGAGATAGATCTTTGCTCATCCACTTGGTTACTTCTCCATTGGAGTTCACGACCTCTATGGAGAAGATCCCCAAGCGGATTCAAGACCCCTAACGGGAAGACCCTCAAGACCTCCTCACGGAGAAGAACTTTACCTTATATCGTCTTTGTTGATCGTGGATCGTGTATCTCTTTGTGTTTCGAGGATCTAGCACATGTGTAATCGAATCTTGTTGGTTTGAGTGATTCCTCTCGTGTTTTCCCTCGTGTTTCCCCTCGTGTTCTTCGTGTTCTTCGTAGGATCCCCTCCATTCCGTAAAAGATCGGGCATCTAGCGTTCTACCCTACAACATGTTAGGAAGGTGTCCATTGAATAAATAATTAAAAGCATTAAAAATGAGCAAATAATCATGTTCATGGACACCATTTTTCTTAATGAGAAGGCGGGACCATACTTGGAGCTTTGCCGCGATCAAGTGTTAGTGATGAGGTCTAAGGGAGGCTCCATGGGAGGGTTTGGAGGATTTGGATGATTCATGGGTGGAGGCATGGGTGCCATGGGAGGATACATGGGTGACATAGGATGCATGAGTCGCAATGGTGCCAATGGAGAGAATGCAAGCACTAGTGATGTTAATTGTGGCAATGATATTTGATAGCCCTATGCATTCATGTTCTATGCACTTTTGTTTATGTTTGTGATGCAAGATGCTTGAATTATGTGTATTTGAACTTGAATTTGATATGTGCTTGGTTATTTGTGTTGTTATCTTGCAAAGTTTTAAATGGCATCTCATGATTTACTTCAATAGTATGCAATTGCGGAGTAGAGAAGAAGGACATATTTCTAGGGCACCAATTTCAGGTCATCTGAAGAAGCAAAAACTTTTCTTGTGCCAAAAGAACTTATCTCTCCTCACCTAAAACCATCTTCATGGGACCAAATTTCTGGTCATCTGTTGGATATGCTTTTATGAGTTGAGCTCTTTTGGTCCATGGACAACTATATGAAGAATGCTAATTCCTTTACTGATTTTTTTTCACGTGTTAGTTTTAATCACTGTCCTAGAGGCCAATAGAGCACCTTGTTTTTTAGGTAAGCATGGTGAGGGTCATCTCATTTGTGTGTGGGATGGTGACCCTCCAATTTTTTCAATTTCTGTCATTGCGGACAATGTCTCGATAATGCCCAAGTAGTAATATACACCACCATGATGGCTTTTACATACAATGAATATCGTGTATTGTACCGTGTATTTCTACATTGTCTAAAAACATGTAGGACTTTGCAGGTGATGCCTTTGAATGGATTGATGGGGTACTAACACGATAAAACAAAAATGGGCCACAAAAATTCATGATAAAACTAAAAGTCACATCAAGACTCTTCAATGTCATCATCTCTAGCTTTACATCTTGCATATTGGCATTGAACCATGACTAGTGACGAAACAATAGAAGATCAAACTGGCATAAACTGGACTAATAGTCTTTTGAAAAGACACACAAGTTGTCCACCTCAACAGATAAGCGATAATAAGTGTTGTGGCTAGGTACACGCCTTTTGTAAATCGAGTTGTCAACTGATGATTCATTGTCGTGTTTGTAAAAAAAAACCGAGGTGCACAAGAGCCAATGACCAAAGTACACTTGACATCATTTTTGGCCACGATGTCAAGACATACCAAAAGTGTTGGATGACACAACAATATTAGTGGCAATCAATCTATGGGTCCTAAACAGCCAAAAGTCTTCATTATCGACAATGTTAACCATAAAATACCGCACCATGTGCAAATATAGTAGTGAAAGTTAACCAATATGTTAGAAACTGAAATCTACAATCCCACGTCTCAAGATGGGGGGAAATCGATCTTTGGGACCCAAACACCACAATATTGGTTGTCGCCAATGTTAGCCATAGCATTGGCAGCATGAGGCTATAGAGCCGTGATTTTCGTGAACCTGCCTTCACTACGTAAATCAAATATGTTAGAAAATCTCTAAACCTGCATATCCACAAACTCTTCGCCCCCGACACCAAAGATGAAAATAATAGGGTGGGAGGGGGGGGGGGGACATAAAAAATGACAACTTCGGCCGAGAGACTAGGGTTGTGAACTTGCATCTCACGGCAACGGTGCGGATAATGCGAAGATAAGAGTATTTTACTTTTCAACGCCAAAAGAAAAAAAAGCATCTAAATGCATTCTATAGATTTTTTGAGAACTTCAATCCTGTAGTCCAAAGCTCAGGTGTAAAATGAATTTTACTCTTTTTTCATAACATGAATTTTAAACGTTTGTATTCTCCAATCTTTCATTTTGTTTGAGGCACCAGCTGCCCTTTTTTAGGGCAAAATACTACTGAACGTTTTTTTCTTAGAACAATAAAGCCGACAGCTCGCGTAAAAAAATGCACCGCGAACACGCGGCCCCCATAAGATGAGGCCCAATTAGAACTCTCCTCGCTCCCCACAGCAGTGGTTGCGCAGCCAGTCAAGTCAAGCCTTCCCCGGAAACCCAAGGCTAAAACCCTAGAGCTCGCGGAGGGTTTTATCGAGATGGCGACGGCGGAGCAGAAGGGGAAGAGGCCGAGGATGGAGGCGGAGGAGGGCAACAGCATCGACGACGCCCTACTGCTCTCCATCGAGAAGCTCCAGGAGATCCAGGACGAGATCGAGAGGGTGAGTCGCTTCGTTCTCGCCTGCTGACACCTGTCGCGGCGCGCTCCGGTTGCTCGGCCTTTGATTTTGGCGCCGTTCTTTTCATTTTCGGAGCAGTCTGGACGAAGGCTGCGCGGAATTTAGGGGAATTTCAACTCCCGATTTGTTTATGTGCGAGGGGGCTGGTCTCGCCGCGAGGCAGCGTTTGGTGACCGACTGATCTGGGTGTGCCCTCGATAGGAGTATTGGGTGATTGGGTTGGAATTCTGTGCTTCCCCTCCAGGCCCAGGGGTCGAGCTAGTAGAACCTTCTTAGACTTTTAGGTGGTGGTAGATATATTTGGAGACCTCTGCTTGTGCTGCTGCAGAATTGTGGCCTGTGTCCGTGTTCTCTGACGATACTTCAAATCACTTGTTCGTGAGCTTATGCACACTGGATTGTAGACGTTTACAGTAGCTTTGGGTGCACTTAAATGTTTGTGAGCACTCCCAGAGCAGGGTGTGTGACAACTGGAATGATCTATTTTAGATTCATTTTGACAGTTGGTGGTCTGAAAATACAGTAAGTTTTGAATACCTCACTTGATTGAAGTTGTTGTGGAAAGTAAACACAAGAATGCCAGCTAAATACCCCCATGTACATATAGAACCCCTATACTCTTCAGACAAAAATAAGTTTATTTCCTTTAGGATTACAAAATGATCGCATGCCTTGCTCTGCATCTTGCCTTTCTTCACAACATGCATGACATGTCAATCTCCATTACCACCAAATATGGCGCGTCTTCACTCTGTTATATTACCAAACCAGCTTTAGCTCCTGTTTCTATGGGCTCCATACTCTTTCCATTATGTTAAATTTTGTGTCAATGAAACTTAGTTCTGTAACTGGACTCGGTGTAAAGAGCACAGTTATGCATTCTATGTATGAGATAATGATGAAACACCAAAGGATTTATTTGATTCCTTATTAGAGTAAGGCACCTTATCTGCTAATTAAACGGTCTTTTAATTGCTTAGTACTCTTGTCTCTCTGAAACAGAATTATTGCCTGAATATCTACAGTGACAAGAACATATTGTGAATGGACAGGCTATATCTGGCTGGAATATTTGAATGCGGTTAAATTACTAGGCAGTTAGCTTCATTGTTTTTATGGTGCCCATAAGGCGTCAGGGCGCCCTCTGATGGCAGGGCGTCGAGCTCGCCTTTGACAGCTTCATAAGGTGTCCGCCTTGGACAGTAGGGCGTCTGAATCGGCCACCTAGGTGCACCCCATGGGCTGCTCCCAGGCGGGAAAGAGTAGCCCGCGCAGAAATTTTCACGGGAAAGACTGGCTCACATGCGAATAGGTATGAGGAGGAGGGAGGGAGAGAGTATTGAACCTCCAATCCAAGCGAGAGGGATTCCTCTTCTCCTCTCTCGACCTTTGGCGGCGTCTCCTTCCTCCACGGCTTCGATCTGTGCCCTTCCTCCTCTCTGGCTCAGCTCCTCCAGTCCTCGGGCGCAACAGCAATGTGTGGCTCCTGTACTTGTCTCACTTCTCCCCTCCCCTGCCCTCCTCTGCTCTTTCTTTCATCCCCTCCCAGTGCTCTGTTTCTCCCAGCAGTGTAGCTAGATGTGCTTGGCTGCTCCTTCCCCTCCGCATCTGTTTCCTCCCAAATCTGCTTCTCCACCCACAAGGCAGCAGCCCCACCACCGCTTCTCTCCTTCCACATGCTTTATCTGGTTGCTCTAGTGATGTGGCTCTTCTCTCTTTTTCTTTGATGGATGATTGGGCCTTCTCTCAGTGCTGCCGCAGTAGCCAGCTCTCCCTGCTCTGATGGATCCTGTGGCTGGTAATGCTTATGATCTCCAATGATCCTATGAGAAGATCTACATGCAATGATCCAGCTTGGAAGTATGGGTTCTGACCAGATTTAGAGTGCCATATATTATATATTTATGTGTAAGGTGTCGCGTCGCCTTACGCTTTAAGTGCTTGAAAAGGTGAGGCGGGGGTACAGCGCCTCGCCTTACCACCTTACAAAGATTGGTTAGCTTATATAGATTCATTTACTGCAGGTTAATGAGGAAGCCAGTGATAAAGTCTTGGAGGTGGAACAGAAGTACAATGAAGTTCGCAGGCCAGTTTATACTCGACGGAATGAAATTATCAAGGAAATTCCGGACTTCTGGTTGACTGCGGTTTGTTACATGTTCTATGCTGATTTATATGTCGTCTGTTTATTTCCTGAAACTGCTGATTGGTATAGTCTCATCCTTACTAATTCATGCATTTCCGCTGCAGTTTCTAAGCCATCCTATGCTTGGTGAACTTCTGACTGAAGATGATCAAAAGGTACATTGTTTTGTGGGAAGTTTAACATCTACACTCTTTAACTTTTAGCATTTGTATCAAATGTGGCAACAAGTAATAAAATACTCCCTCCGTCCCATAATATAAGAACGTTTTTGACACTAGTCTAGTGTCAAAAACGTTCTTATATTATGGGACGGAGGGAGTACTAAATTACTATATCAGATTTGCTGAGTAATTATGTGGAACCATACTCATACTATTTGATCACTTTTGTTCCATTGTAGATATTCAAACACTTGGTGTCTATCGATGTGGATGAGTTTCAAGATATTAAATCAGGCTACTCCATTACTCTTGTAAGCTTCTTTTGCATCTACAAGCTATGGTTTCCTTCCCTTTGCTTACATGTTTTGAACTTGAACTGGCAGGCATTCTCTTCTAATCCATATTTTGAAGATACAAAGCTTACAAAAACATGTTCATTCAGTGATGATGGGAAAATAACTGTGAAGGCCACCACCATCAATTGGAAGAATGGAATGGTACTGTGCCTCGTTAATCGTATAAGCGCTTCAGCAAAAATGCTTCTGTATGTAAAATTAGATCTAACAAGTTTTCCAATAATACATTAAGGATATTGCAAATGGAAAGGCATACACGGAGAATGGGGAGAAACGACTATTGATTGATGAGAGGTTGGTGTTTTTTTATCTTCTGTGCTACAAATTATTAATTTTTTCTTCATGCCTTATCTGTACTATATGATTCTTTCTAACATAGAGAGACGTCATCATTCCATTTGAGTTATAATATGCAAGTATGAAATTTGTGAAGGGGATTCATGTTCTGTTTTCTTTTCCTTTTTTTGTTTTGCAGTTTCTTCACTTGGTTCAATGATGCAAAGAACAAAAGTTTTTCTGATGGAGTGATGGATGAGGTATAGGATTACGTGTCTCCTATGCTTGTAGATCCTGCTAAATCAGGATTGTTTCAATTGATCGGAAGTTTTGTCGCTCTGAAGTCTGGCAGACAGAATGACATAAATTTGGAACTCTAATTCTTCCTCTTGATTTATTCTCTGAGAAATTCCAATCTTGCAGGTGGCAGATGTTATCAAGGAAGAATTGTGGCCTAATCCTTTGAAGTATTTTAACAATGTTAGTGCTTCTAGTGAAATATAAGTGGTTTATTTTGTTGGGTCCTTTTTTTCCATTGTGGATCTTTGTGTCATGTCCTTTGAATCTTTGATTGCAGGAGGCTGAAGATGAATTTGAAGATGACGAGGATGAAGAGGTAATCCTGTTTTCTTTATCAGCAGTTACATACTTCCATTACTTCCGTATATATGATACTCGTTGGGTGTGTGCACTTGTGCAATAATGCATAACCTTCTTGTAGTTCATTTGCAATGGTGTACAATATCCTGATACTCATGCAATAATGCATAACCACCTCAGTTATCCTGATGGCTTTTTTGACTTCTCAATACGTATTTCCTGTTCATACCACGACACTGTGCATCATCTGTTCATCACAGGTGCTCTAATCCCAACAGCAAAAGGAATTTAGGTTGACATTAGCACGCAATGCACTACACATCTAACATTTTGCCCAACTTCCTTAAATTTGCTAGCTGGCATTGTGTCAGGTTTTTATGCTCTCATGAGGCCTGACGGAAATGAGTTTGAGTTGTGATGTTCACTTGGGGCCTTATTTTTGTTCTACGCACATAAATTTAATATGAAGCCTGATGCTGATTGCCGAGTTTCGTTGCACTTTATCTCCTTGGTACATGTATTTATCATTCTTTTGCAACTTCTGTAGGGATTTGATGAAGACGACGATGATGAAGATGAAGAAGAGGAGGAAGATGATGAGGAGTGAAGCCCTCTTTCATGCTGAATTTCAGTTGGCTTCGACAACTCCCGTGCGTGTAGACTGAAAAGCAAGGTGGTGTCCCCTTTTGTGGTGTTTTGTTGCTTGACTTAGCTGGATCTGTAGGATTGTAAGGTTGATCTGCGGGAACTTGTTTTGATCTGCTCATACATTTGGAGTCCCGCAGATTCCAATATGTGGCATTTCAAGTATATTGTTATTGTGGGATGTAGTAGTTCCGGATATGCAAGGTGTCTGTGTTTCCTGAGATACAGTTGCTTTAATGACTGTTAGTCAACAATATTTAACTTATATGGTAGCGCAAAATTCATGCCGTATTTCAGTTACTCCTCGACAGTATCATTTTTGTATCCCATCATTCACATTTTTTTAAACTGTTTGTTGATCAAAGCTTTATTCCTTTGAGGTGTTGATGAAAGCTAGAGCGTGTTACATTTGCAGAAGGATGGAGTATATTTATTCCAGGGAGTGAGGGTATTTTACAGCCCGTCTGTCTTGCAAGAGATGGGAACGCCTATAGATCAGGCACCTATTTTTTTATTTATTTCACCAGTCACTTTTACCCTGGACTAGATCTTCATCCAACGGCCCAAAATATGTCGACACGTTTGTCTTCAACCTCCTATTGCCACCACGCTGCTGTCTCAATTAAGGCCCCGTTCGGCAATGCGCCGGCTCCTTGAAATCCATGGATCTACGGAGCATGGTTTTGCCTGCTCCAAGACTTTTCACTGCAGCTCCGTCCGCTCCTGAAGCGGAGCAGTGAAGCGGATGGACACCGAACGGGGCCTAAGTTTCTTCCTCGCCTCCACCCGAGAGGTCCTAGTCCAGCCAACGCTCATCGCTGCTGCTCCTCACGGTGTTCCCGTCTTTGGCCATGCGCTGCGCGGAATTGACTGACGCCTCAAAACATTCCAGGCGTCTGACAATTAATAAAGCCAGCGGTTTCTTAGTTCTGCATCTGGTTACAAATTCGGTTGTAGATCACGCAACCGAATTTTACTAGTTCCACCTGGTTTGGTAACCATCATTTGGCATCGGAATCATGGAATTGGAGTCAAAATCCAGACGTTTTCTTGTTCGGCCGCTAGCACCGGGATCAGTATTGCCGATTGGCCCCCAAATCTCAGCCCCGTACGGCCGCTTCCACGGGATGGCGCTGAGACTGATCTCGAGGCCTACTCGCCGCTGATAGGCATTCTCACCGCCGGTGATTCCTCCTCTCCATTTCATCACCTTCCCGACCCTAGGTCTCCTCTGCCCTACTCCTTTTCTAGCCCTAATCCCCACCGAACGGATCCAGACCCGCCTGATTCTCCACCAAGCTGGCGTAGGGTCCTCCCCGCTGGGGCAGGGCCGTGCACCGTGACGCCTGCCGCCGACGTCTCCGCGTGCGGCGCACCATCCCGCCTCCGCCGCCACTCGGCT